CCCCTTGGGTTTTTTTTTTTTTTTTTTTTTTTCTCCGCACCCCTTCCCCTAAGTCTCTGTACATGAGTCCTGGCAGAGCACAGAGAGCTTGTGCCAGTAGCCCCATGCATTCTGTCTCCTCTCTCTTTCTCTCTGCCAGTGCCATGTGAGCAGCGTGCCTGTCTTCAACAGCATGAAGCAGCCTGAGGTGAAGACCTGGGGGGCTGTGGTGACGGCAGCCATGGTTATTGCTCTCTTTGTCTACACAGGGACAGGTAGGAGCAATGGCCTCCCATTCTGCATGGTCCCACCACACCCAGCCGTGGCTCCTGCAGCATGTTCTAGTAGACTGGCTGGAGGAGCTTAAGTTGCCCTTCAGCCTGTGGGTCCCTATAGGAGAGATCTGGGGGCCAGTGTGTCTGTAAGATGCCTCATGGCCAATTCCTGAAAGGCTGGCCCCCTGGGGAGCTGCAGGTTCTGCACAGTCAGCCTTCCTACCCCAGTCTCTGTCCCCCTAGCATACCTGCAGTTTAGGCCCCAAGGGTGAACACAGCCACCTGCTTATAGATTCATAGATGTTAGGATCGGAAGGGACCTCAGTAGGTCATCAAGTCCACCCCCCTGCCCTGGGCAGGAAAGAGCGCTGGGGTCAGATGACCCCAGCTAGGTGCTTGTCTGGTCTCCTCTTGAAGATCCCCAGGGTAGGGGAGAGCACCACCTCCCTTGGAAGCCCATTCCAGATTATGGTAACCATTACAATGAAGAAGTTCTTTTTAATGTCCAACCTAAATCTGCTGTCCGTCAATTTGTGGCCATTGTTCCTAGTTACTCCAGGGGGTGCTCTAGTAGATAGAGCATCTCCTATTCCCTGCTGCCCTCCTCTGAATTCATAGGTAGCCACAAGATCACCTCTCAGCCTTCTCTTGCGAAGGTTGAAGAGATCTAGGTCCCTCAGTCTCTCCTTGTCGGGCCTTGTCTGCAGGCCCCTAACCATACGAGCGCCCTCCTCTGAACCCTCTCAAGATTCGCCGCATCCCTCTTGAAGTGCGGTGCCCAAAACTGGATCCAGTACTCCAACTGTGGCCTGACCAGTGCTGCATACAGGGGAGGCATCACCTCCCTGGACCTGTTTATCATGCATCTGCTAATGAATGATAAAGTGCGTTAGCCTTATTGATCACTTTGTCCCACACTGATGACCCATGTTCATCTTGGACCCAAATAAAGACTTTTTGTTGTCCTTAATTTTTGTCACCAGCCTAAATTCTAATCCTGCTTTGGCCTTCCTAACTGATTCCCTGCAAGTACAAACCAGGGAGGTATACTCCTTGGTAGCTGTCCCCTGTTTCCACAGCCCTTAGGCTTTCCTAGACTGCCCTGTTCAGCTAAGAGGGTTTCTTGGCCCCTTTGCCCCCTTTTATGCACAATGGGATTGTCTCCTTCTGCACCTGTAGGATTGCCCCCTTGAAGAATGGCCACCCTTCCTGGACCCTCATTCACCAATGCTCTTGAGCCTTAACTCCTAACTAACTAATTTCCTGAGCCCACTGAAGTTAGCCTTTCTGAAGTCTAGCACTTCAGCCCTGCTGGTTAGTTTACCCTCCCTTTGCTGGATAGTGAATTCAATCAACTGATGGTCTATATCCCCTTAGTCCTTCCCATAGTCCCCATGTGCTGCTGAGATCCTTGCCCTGCTCACGATTCTCCACCAGGTGTCTGTGGCTTCCTGACCTTTGGAACAACTGTGGACCAAGACATTCTCCTCACCTACCCCTCCAACGACATCCCAGTTGCCATTGCTCGTGCATTCATCATCCTGTGTGTTCTGACGTCCTACCCCATCCTGCACTTCTGTGGCAGGTGAGTGGAGTGGGAGGCAGTTTGTGGATTGTGCCCTCTGGCTGGTAAACAGAAATAGCTCTTCCCCAGACTGATTGGCATGGAGCAAGCAGTGCTCCAGCTGCTCGGGAGACCATGCCTGCTAACTAAGCAGAACTGAGGGAACTGGGAATTGATGCCCAAAGTCTGAATTCACAGAGGAAGTCCCTTGCTACTCCTGTATCTCTGCTTCCCATACAGGGCTGTGATAGAGGGTCTCTGGCTACGCTACAAGGGGGAAACAGTGGAGGAAGATGTAGTGCTTGAGAGGCGCCGGCGTGTGTTCCAGACAGTCAGTTGGTTTCTCCTGACTCTTCTCCTGGCCTTGTTCATCCCCGACATTGGCAAGGTCATCTCTGTCATTGGGGGCCTGGCCGCCTGCTTCATATTTGTCTTCCCAGGTACAGCCCCATGTGCTTGAGTTATGCTGCAAACAGTCAAAAGTCACCCAGCACATTGATCAATGCAAATTTGTTACAGTGCACATGGAAGTCAGAGGCTTATGCTCCAGGAATCAATTCTCCAAAATGTTTGTTCCCACCAGAATGGGGGTGACCCAGATATAGCCCATAGAGCTGTCACCTAGCCTATGGGACTCCCCATGGGTCCAGAAACTTGATGGTGGGGGAGCAGTGGCAGCATGAATTAATGCTACCATTGCCTGTCCTGCCACCGAATTTCCAGACTTGTGGGGAGCCAGATAGACCAGATGATGCAGCTGAGCATGCTGGATTGTACTTGCAAGGCTAGATGAGTTGGACACCACTGCACTAGAAGATAATGGCATTTGCCTTTTATCCTGTCTACATGGGTGTCAAAGCTCTGTGGAAAAGATCATGGACCGGCAGGATATTAAAGCAATCCCAAAAGCCAATAGTGATGATCCTGAGCAACAGTTAAAAACAGTCTCCTCTCAGGGGGAGGATGGGCCATTCAGGACTGAATTCTCCACAGAGGAAACCTAAGGTCATGCTCAGGCTTTCCCTGGCAGGACCCCAAGTCATTAAATGTAGCATCAAGGCAAGGGTTGGCCCCAATGCCCAGTGAAGTCAGCCAAATGGCTGTCAAAGCAACGCAGAATTGGTGATCGTGGTGGAGTTTCATGTGGGATCTAAATGGAATGGAAAGTGAGTTTTCCAGCCAAGCTGCTCTGAGTGGTGAGGCAGGAGAAGGACCTGAGCACACCTCCAAGCTGGGTCTCACTCACACACACTGCTGGAAGGGATGGAACACTTCCCTGGACTCCTGAGTGCCTTTAGATAAGGGAATGCAATGCTGTGTATTGGGGCAGCTGGGGTGGCCTGATTGAGTTGATCAGTTCCCCTGTCTGGCAGCAGAATGCACCTGTAGGTTCAGGTTATGCCTCTGGATTCTCTTGGTAGGCCACCCAGGGCTGGGAGCATGGCAGCGTCAGTGTTCTGGGAATGGAGAGTTGGAGTTCTCCATTCCCCTTATCCAGTTAACCAACATCACTGGCAGCCTGGCTCGAGAGCTATTTACCCTTTTCCCACACTGGGAAAATGAAGGTGTTTGGTGGGCAGCTCATTACCTTCTAACTCACTAGAAAAGGTCAAGGGCAAAAATAGAGGTATTTGTTTCTCCAGTAGCTCGTAGTGCACATGACCCCTCTTCCTCTGGGTGTGGTTGTTTTAACCTTTGTTCTCAGGTCTTTTAACTGGAGATGAGTGATTTACCTTGCTGCTCATTATTTGCCCCCCTCTTCCCACTAGGACTATGCTTGATTCAAGCCAAACTTTCTGAAATCCAGGAAAGCAGATCAACCAGGTAACATGAACTGATCTTGTGCTTCCTCCCCCTCCCTCCCCTGTCTCTTCCCAAGATGATTCAGGCCTTGTTCCCATTTGTAGGGAGCTGCTGGCATTGGGTTGAAATGGGATTCCCTCTCTAAGATTTCACATAAACCTGTGTTCTGTATCCACAGCTGGTGGGCACTGGTCAGCTATGGGGTGTTCATGGTCACCCTTGGAGCCTTCATCTTTGGACAGACCACTGCCAATGCCATCTTTGTGGATATGATGGCCTGACTCCTTTCCACTTGCTGGTTGATGCTGTCACCTTTGGGAGGAAAGGGAGTAGCTTTTTCTTTGAGCCAAAATGGAAAGGAAAAAACTGATTCAACTTCTGTTGTTTCCAAAATACTAGTATAAGTGGATCTTCTTCCTCTTCAGCTGGGATATCATTAGACTGTTTTACTGGGGACTCCCTACAGTGTTCATGTTTCATTGTCTAATGTACCAAGTCAGACTTATTCTTTAGCTGCTATCATCATGGTGAAGACCTTGTATGTTTGCCAAGATTCACTATAAGTAGAGCTCAGACACTGTTGTGGTAGTGCACACCATCATGATGACATCATGACAGAAGGTTTTGAGAAGAACATGCCTGTTTTAGGCAGGAGACCATGTTACTTCATACAGAGCATCTTTGGCTGAAGAGACCAGATTCCTCCCATAGCTTTAAAGGAGCTTAACCGCCCTGTTCTGATGGCAAAATTCCTAGGGAAATGATGTAAAGGGAACTATACCCATGTTTTAACATTATACATAGATCACTTTCAGGTTTTTAGCTTTGTGTAAGAGAACCCCAGTACATTTTCTGTAGGAAATATATTTGTACTGGTGACCAAATACAGATGAGTGATCTTTCTCACAGCTGTGCAGAAAAGGAATGATCCACATCTGCCTCATGAGAGCTGTGCTGTGGTGAAAAGTCTCAAAAGACTGGGGAACAGGTCTATCAGGTGAGCTGGCAAAAAGGAATGCTCTTTAATCCAGCTCAGGGCAATCACATTAAATAGGGAACTCTGCTAATCTGCTTTCTCTATGGCTTGACTAGTCTATCCAGCTATCCATCTGGGAAAGCATTCTGTCATATCCATTTCTCTTCAGTGCTTGTTTTTCAACCTGGCTTTCTCATCTGTTGTTTTCCAGTCCAGTTTCTAGTGCACATGGGGAAATGACTTCTACACTTGCTTCTCATTGGTTTACATTTTTTTTTTTATTTGAAGGTGCTACTGGGATTGGCTGCTTTTGTCCTAAGCATGAGTTTGCTTCATTAGCATTGTGTGGAAGCAAGGCCAGGGAAGACGCAAAACAAGCCTGTGCTGACAGGCCCTGGAGTAGCAACAAAGCAGTGTAATGTTTACAAAATAGATGCTGGCCTCTTCTTCCAGTGTGGGGCTTGATCACTCTTAAGTTCAGGTGCCGTGACTCCATGTCTGTCGATTCTGGTTAAGTGCTTTTTGGAGACTTCCATGTCAAATCTGTTCTTCCAGTATGGATGTTAGTCAGCTAGGGCTGGGTGAGAGGGCTGAATTTTAGGTTTAAAAGAACACTTTTCAGATAAATAATAGCTTAATGATCTACATCTCGGGACTTTTTAAACATGTAACATTACAGTTTTACTCATGGCTGTTTATACTAATCACTGTATTTCTCTCAGCCTGGACAAGTCTGTTTCACTACAGTTTTGAGGCAGTTTTTACTCTGAGCCCTTTGTGGGTGAGCAGTTTTCTGGGGCACAAAGCTATCCTCCTTGGGATCTATAAACTTCTCAGACTTTTCTGTCTTTTTTTCTTTTTTTTCAAAAGTAAACTCTGGGGTTTTGTTTAGTATAAAACCTAAAGGGGTCAAGGGAATTTTAGGGTATGTTTTAGTGTCGCCGAACTCTTAAAGGGACCTGTATGTTTCTCTGGATGTTTGTTCCTTCTCAAGAGCACCAAACTACTCTGACACAGACTTGCAGTGTTGCAACATGGTGTGTGCAGCCTGTGCATTGTAACAGTCTGTTAATCATGTGTTTCTGTTCTCTGAATGGAGAGGGGAAGTGGGAAGGAGGGGCTTTCCAGTGGAAATATTTGATTTTTATTTTATTTTTTTGTATAAAAGTTGCTCTTTACAAATGTTCTTTCTGATATTGCTCCCCTGTATGTCATACCCCCAGGCTGCCCATACTATCATCCTATGGGCTGTAACACCTAATGATGTATATTTCCTGTGGCTTACCATTTAGCAGGGCCACAGCCTGATTTTTCATCTTCCTGCATTTGCTTTGTGGAAAAGATTTTTGTTTAGGTTTTTGAAAGCACATGTTGATTCCTAGACTCAAGAACTTAGCTCAAAAAGTCCCAACGCAGTTTCAGCCTAGTTCTGCTGGACACATTAAAGCCACCACAGTTGGCACCAGGGTGTTGGGGTTTGGTAGAAAGGTAGAGATTAAACATTTACTGGAAACCGGGCTGCCTGTCCAGGAGAAGAGGTCTTCTAAGCTGAGATGTGAGGCACATGGGGAGTGATGTGAGGAAGCTTGTACAGTCACACCCTGTGCTCTCTCTGCCATGTGACATGCTAAATGGAGCCCATTAGTTTCCAGAGCCTTGTCAGTCTAGGACTTTCCAGGCACACTGCTGTCAAGAGAGGCTCAACACCCACCTGTGCTGATTCCAATAGTCATCCAGTATTGGGTATATGTTTGTCCCCTGGGGTACTAGCAGGAGATTTTGGGATACTTTCCATTCCTGTCCTTTAACATTAGTGGGAGATTTTGGGAGACTTTCCATTCTGGGACCCTTTAACATTTGTTAGTTGAGGCATGAGAAGCCAGAAACTTGGACAGATGCTCATAGCATTCTGCAGTGAGATGCCAACAATGTTGATAGATGGATGGATAGGCTCCAAAGCTGCTACTGCCAATATCCCTGCCTCTGTATTGCAGTGCAGCTGTTCTCACTGGCAAACATCCTATAACTGCTAGTCTGTCTTGGGGAGAGAGGTGACCTGAGCCCAGACCTGACCTCCAAGGATTTCTTGGATTTCAAGTCTGGTTTTGCCACTTGCTGCTTAACCTTACGCAAGTGGCTTTTATTGGGGATCAATGCACAGCTACCATTGAAGCTTTTGGGGGATTCCAGGTGCCTTGGAAGATCTCTGCCTTGGTTTTCCTAACTAAAATGAGAATCATGTTCCTGTAGAAACAAAGCAGTGAAGGATTTAGTTTTAAAGGGGGAGTGATGCACCCCCACTTTGTGTCTAATCCCAGTTTCAGAAGCAGCCTCCTGTCAGGATAGGGAACAGGTGCTTTTCTGTGATGTGGTGTCTTTGACCTCCCAAACCAGGAGCTGTAACACAAGCTCTCCCTCCCCTTTGCCATCAGACTCTGTTCTCTTTTCTTCTATTGCTTGGAACTAAATATTTGCTCATTTGAGTACAGAAGGGGAGGTTATCAGTATCCCAACCTTTCTCAAGATCGCACCTCTCTTGTGAGGGCTGCAGAAGGTATAAACACTGGTAACTGCAGCCTGTACGTAAATCACATTTTCTGTTCCTGTTCTGGAGAACAGAGATGAAGGGAGCCCATGTGTGTTTGGCAGGTTTGATTGTTTCAAACACTGTTCCTCTGACACGGCTGCGATCCACAGCCTAGTTCCCTTCCTAGCACATCTTTCTTTGGCACTCATCACTGTGGGGTTTGTCTGGCTCATGCTTTCCTCCCCTCTCTGTCCTGATATGTACACCCTGAATTAGCTATAACCTGGGGAGAAAGCAGATTCTTCTACTCCTATCATGCACCCACCTAAAGATGACTTGAGTCACAGAGCTGGGCACCTTCTAAGAATGCTAGGGGCTGATGTTCAGCAGGGATGAGCACACCATACCCTAACCAGTCCCAGTTGGCGTTGAGGGCTTCCTAGTATTTCTGAGAAGCAGGCTTAAAAGGCTTTTGCTGCCCACTGCCTGATACCCCCTTCCCCAACAAAGGAAAGTATGGGGTGGTTTCTCTCTCCAGTGCACACGCCTCTGACTGACAAACCAGGTGCTTCTTTGGCTGGTGCACTAAAGCAGAGTCTTGTCCTTGGAGACAGGCTGACCACAGACTCTGATCCCCACAGGGGATTGACCAGCTTTATTCCATAGGGCTGGAGCATGAGCAGTGTGCTATCAGGAGGTCCTGTTGCTGCACTAACAAATATGGCAACTGACTGAGCCACGGCATTGGTAATCTTTCTCTCTCTGTACGAGGGATGGGTTTGGGAATATTTATAGTTGTCTCTCCTGCTGCCTCCCCTCTGGGGCTTGTAATGTGGAAGCAGAACTGGGGATTCCAGCTGACACCAAAAGGGCAGGAGCATAAGCCAGGCCTGGCTGCAGGGAGGGGCACCCAGATTTGGCCTGATCAAAGGCCACTTTGGCAGCTGCTCCATAGGCTGTAACCAACTCCTATGGGATGGCAATGCTGCCCTCTCCATTGAACCAGCCACACCATCTGCAGCTCCATGTCACCAGGATGCTGAGAGCAGTGTGGACTATGCTGTCCTTTCAGGCTGTACATCCAAAGTGAAGAGGAGCAACTTCCAGGCCCTACTTTGCTGCAGGTTGGTGATCCCCATCCCCACCTTAAAAGGTGCTGTCCTATGTTACGAGGAGCCTGCTGTTGCAGGGCAAGGATACAACAAACAGTAGCTCTTTTTTATGCCTTATGGTTCTTGTGATTTTTCTTTTTTTTTAATAACCTTTCATGTATTTTCTATGCAGGATCTGGAAAGCATTTAATAAAAGCTGCCATTGCATTGCTACCCTGGGCTGAGTTGTGGCTGCTTTGACATGGTCTGGGAGCACAGAAGTGTCTGATAGGCAACTGGCCTGTGCCATGGACCACATGGAGTGTTCCCTGGGGCAGGCTATGAGGTCACATATTTGAACTGTAGCTTGGCCAGGCTCAGTATTAACTGCTCTGTGCTCTGGCGTGGTGAGCTTGGTGCCTGTGGTGGGTTCAGAAGCAGTAGCCTCTGATCTTCCTCTTCTTCCCTCAGGGCCTTTCTCTCATGCCTAGGCTCAATTTAATTTAATGTTTTCCTCCCTTGCCTGCCCCCCCTCTTCGACAGCTGTTATCTCCCCTGTCATATTCTCTAAAACCCCCTCACCCCAGTTGTTCTCAGCAGCAGTTCAGAGCCAGTGTGCTGTTAGTTGTAGGACTCACAGCAGACCTCAAGCTGTCCTCCTCATGATTCAGCAACGGGAATCCTAGTGCAAATCTACATGGCTTGTGTTCCTGAGAAATTTAAGGGCCTTTGAGCATTTTCCCCACTTCCTTAGCCTCCTGCCACTGCATTCCCCTCATACTGTGGCAGCCCCAGCTTGGCTGAAAGCAAGTTCTGCGATTCACTCTAAACTGCTACTTTCCCTTTCTGCATGTGGGCTGGGCCTGAGGCTTTGTGAAGTGCATCAGTGTCCCCCAGGGAAAGCAGCACAATAGCATTGGTCTGATCTGCTTTAACTGTGCTAGGGATGTTCACAGGAGCTAGGTGGGAGGGGAGGGGGGAAATTGGGGATTTGATTCCAAAGGCATGAATGGGGTGCACAGTGAGCGCACAGATAGTCTTAGCCTTCCCTCAAACCACTTGCCTGTCTTGGAGACCTGGGGCTCAGAGCTAGAGGCCCCTCCTGGTAATTTACCCTTCAACACACCCTTAAACAAGGAAGTCAGAGACTGCATTGAACAGGGCCAAAACTTTGGAGTGAAATCAGTCCCAAAGGAGCACCTATCTTCACTAATGCCTCCAGCCGTTGGAGTTAAAGTGCACCAACCAGAATAGCTGTTTACTTTGAACATAAAGTACAAACCACAGAAGGCTGTCAGCCAGCTTACCTGTGTGTAATTGCCTCATGCAACATGCCAACAAAAGGAAAGAGCAGTGACAGCCCGATGCGTAGCCTCTGGTGCTTTAGTGTTGAGGCATTCTCCAAGAAGCTCCCTAGTCTTCACAACCAGTGAAATCAAGGACACCGTATGTCCTGGTGTGAAGGGTACTCTCCTTGTTAGGGGTCCCTGTGGCTGTTGTAGAGACCTTCTACTCTCATTAAGAAAACATCACCCAACATCAATAAGCAGGAGCCACGGCTATCTCGTGCTCAAGCTGAGAAATCAGAGCAGTTTGGGGAAAGGAGGGAAGGTAATGGACACTGCTGGAAATTCTCAGTGCCTCCATTCCTTTTCACAAATGCAGAATTCTCAGTTTGTCCAGCCAACTGCTGCTTTCTCCTTTGGGGTCTCTGGTCATAGGGAACCCCTCGCTTACCTTTGGGCTTTGTTCCATAGCCAATATAAGGCTATTTTCCCTGCCATCCCATCTAAATGCACCTTTACCTCCATTACTTCCGGTTAATAATGGCTCTCTGCAGTTAATACACAAGTATCTACATGCCAATAGTACTTTAAAGGTATTAATATGTGAGGCCTCACAGCTGAAGCTGCTGGGAAATGTTTTCACCGAACAGAACCTTTTGAAATCTCATGAGTTTGAAGAACTGATGAAACCCGACCTGGATTCCTGCAGGTCTGCCCCCAGGTCAGGCACAATGAAAGCTGCAGGATGGGCTTGGTAAGTGTGCCTCATTGCTGGGGCTACTCAATGGGCCTTCTCAGTGAAATCCTGGGATGACAAGAGTCTTCCCACTGCTGAAATAGTGATACTAACAATGTCAAATTCATCAAGCACCTGCAGGGTCCAGTTTGCAGGACAGTTTTGAAAATATTCATGTAGAAATTGAGTTTAAAGAAAAAGCCTTCTGGTGACCTGGAACTCCTACTTTCAGCCAGTTCTGCTCATTTTCCCTTATGCAAAGGAGAAGCATTATAGTGTCTGTTATATAGATGGGGATGTGGAGACATAAATACTAGGGCTATGAAATTTTGGCAGCTGCTTCGTTTCGGAGGTGTTTCAGCCCATTTTGGCACCGGAAACACCAAATCTGAAATGAAACGGAACAAAACCATCTGAAATGTTTTGGACATTTTGGAGTGTTTCAGAGGGGAAGGGACTGCTCTAATATTTACATCTGTAGCTGGTCAGTGTTTGTGATCTGTCCCTGAGGTCTCTTCCAATCCCAGTGCTCTGGGGAGGGACAGAAAAACAGCATATAAGGTTCTGTGTGAAGCCTTACTCTGCCTTTTGTGAGCTGTCTGTCTGGAAACAACAGTGTGTGAAAGGTACTGGCTGGCTGTAGTGACTGGCTTCCTAGTCAGTCTCTTGCTAGATTCTCTTTTTGGAAAGGATTGGATACACCTTTCCAATATATTACAGATAGAAGATATAGTAAGCAGAGAGAAGAAGATATAGTAAATATATAGAATATATAGTAAACAGATAGAAGATATATTGCACAGAGAAGATCTATTACACACACACATTAAACACAAGATATATTACACACACACACACATTTTGCAGCACAGCAAACATTATGAAGTGTGCTGGAAAGGCAGGGGCCAGGTCTTCTGGCAGGGGAGTGAGAAGAGCTAAAGGAGGTAGGGGGAGAGCTGCTTCCTTTAGGAATGACCACCCTTCCTGGGCTCCCATCTCACCAATACTCCTATCCTGCAGTGCATCATTGACTAGACCCCTAAGCACATTGAAATTAGCCTTCCTAAAGTTGAGCACTTCCACCCTATGAGTTGTCTTACCCACTCTATGCCATATGGTGAATTCAGTTGATTGGTGGTCACTGTCCCCAAAGTGACCACAAATCTGTAGCTCCCCTACCAGGTCATCCCCCATAGCCAACGCTGAGTCCAGTAAGGGACAAAATCATCAGCAAAGATAACTGCACTTTATCATGCATCAGCAGATGCATGACAAATAGAACCAAGGAGGTGATACTTCCCCTCTATGCGGCATTGGTCAGAGCACAGTTGGAGTACTGCGTCCAGTTTTGGGCGCCGTACTTTAAGAAGGATGTGGATAGCCTTGAGAGGGTCCAAAGGAAGGCCACTCATACAGTTAAGGGTTTACAGGACAAGCCCTATGAGGAGAGACTGAGGGACGTGGACCTCTTCAGCTTCCACAGGAGAAGGCTGAGAGGTGATCTTGTGGCTGCCTACAAATTCATTAGGGGGGCACAGCAAGGGATCGGAGATGCTCCGTTCACCAGGGCACCTCTTGTGGTAACAAGGAACAATGGTCACAAACTGTTAGAGAGTAGATTTAGGCTAGACAGCAGGAGAAACTTCTTCACGGTGAGGGTGGCCAAAATTTGGAATGGTCTTCCCAAGGAGGGAAGACTTCTTTAAGGGAAAGCTGGATAGGCAGCTGGGTGGGGTCACTGACCCCAGCACTCTTTCCTGCCCAGGCAGGGGGTCGGACTCGATGATCTGTTGAGGCCCCTTCTGACCCTAACACCTACGAATCTATAAATTGATGTGTCGGGGGTGAAGGATGGGCTGGGGGGGGGGGGGGAAGGGAGATGGAGCAGGTAAAAGGGGAGAGGGACCTGGGGGGC